TTGATATCGCTAGGTACCGACAGCCAAATATCGCAAGCTATGCTTATTCATTTAATTTTGCAGAAGTCTGATGAGCAGACCAACAAAAAGTGGAAGGAGTCGCTAGATTTTAGAACGCTGCCGTCATGGGAGAATTGCATCGCAGTTTTGGAAAGACACTGTCAATATCTGGAATCACTGGACAACACGTATGTTAGTACCCCGTCAATTCAAGGTGCTAACAAATACTCCTCTTCGAAATCAAGGAATCAACCACGAGGCTATACATTTTCCTGCTCCAACATAACTTGTACTTTCTGTTCCAGTAACAACCATCAGGTTTTTAATTGCGAACGCTTTAAGTCACTAAACATTATTCAACGTTTCGAAAATGCAAAGAAAATTGGACTTTGCATCAATTGCCTATCAAAGGGACATAGAGTAGCCAATTGTCCATCATCACACAGGTGTAAGGTTTGTGCACGACAACACCACAGTTTCCTCCACCGCGGTTCTACTCCAGTCCAACAAACATCTACTCAGGTATTTACAACACAAGAGGCAGTCGCGCATACACACAGAAATAATTTTTCGTTGGATAACGTCATCCTTGCAACAGCAAAAATTTTCGTTCGTGATGCATCGGGGAGCTACAGATTGGGTACAGCACTGCTAGATTCCTGTTCACAGGTAAATTTTATCACAGATGATTTTTCGCAAAAGTTGCTTCTGCCAAGAAGTAAGCAAAACATACAGATTCAAAGCATCGGTTCATCGTCAACAAATATTAAATTCAAAACCTCAACTAATATCAAGTCGCAAGTCACTGGTTTCGAACTTCCATTGACTTTTTGTATTACATCGCACATTGCTTATCAACCAGATCCTGAAATCAATATTTCAACATGGAATATTCCATACAATATAGCGCTCGCCGATGATGAATTTTATATATCAAAGAAAATCGACATGTTGCTGGGTACAGAAACGTTCTTCAGTCTTCTATCTGTAGGACAAATCAATCTTGGATCTTATTTACCAATCTTGCAAAAAACACTCTTAGGCTGGATTGTTTCGGGACGTTATAAGACGGGCAGTAACAACATATCCAAACCATCTTGTTTATTTATAGCCAATGAATCTTTAGATGCCAAATTGGAAAAGTTGTGGAAATTGGAAGAAATCACTACCATACCAGAGGCTTGGACTCGTGAACAACAGAGTTGCGATCACATATACAATTAAACTGTGTCAAAAAGACCTTACGGCAGAATAGTTGAATTACCTTTCAAGGATGATCCGACATGTTTGGGCGAGTCATATACTACGACATTGAGACGATTTAATGCACAAGAACGTCGATTAGCCAAATCACCACAATTGAAAGCACACTACGTTGAATTTATTAGCGAACCGCATTACTATACCTATACCACATCATTGTGTGCTAAAACCAACAAGTTCAACAACAAAGCTTCGAGTTGTATTTGACACTTCCTGTCGAACCACATCCCAAAAATCATTAAACGATATTCAGATGGTTGTCCCTACAATTCAATGCGAACTTATTCGTTTTTGATTCCACAGGTTTGCACTCACTGCCGACATAGTCAAGATGTATCGCCAAGTATTAATGCACGAAGATGATCGAAAGTTCCAGTATATTCTGTGGAGGAGTTCACTAACTGAAGATATTCGCACGTATCAACTAAATACTGTAACGTATGGAATGACTGCTGCACCATATCTTGCTATACGGAGTTTGTTATATCTAGCTGAACAGCATTCAGAACAATTTACAATTGGCGCAAAAATCGTGAAGTTATCATTCTGCGTAGACGACCTACTCTGTGGTGCTGATACTCTAACCGAACTTGCACAGATAAAGCGAGAGGTAATACAACTGTTAGAATTAGGACAGTTTAAATTAACAAAGTGGCATTCCAATTATCATCAATTCAGAGAAGACGACTCTATAAAGGATCTAAACGTAGATACATCCATCACTAGTACACTTGGATTAAAATGGAACCAAAATCTTGATTGTTATATTTTTTCATTTGAAGCAAAACTAGCACTGACTGGTCGACTTACAAAACGTTCCATCCCTTCTGTTGCATCATCACTTTACGACCCACTTGGACTTTTAGTTCCTGATATTATAACATCAAAAATTTTGTTGCAAGAAATATGGCTACTAAAGTTGGATTGGGATGAATGTGTGCCACAGAACATCGAATTTGCTTGGAAAAAATTTCTTAACTGCTTATCGGATCTTTCACAAATTAAAGTGCCGAGGCACTATTTTTCGACAGATGTGGAATCTCTTCAGATACATGAATTTTGTGACGC